TGTACAATACTAACCTGATTCACTCAGTTGAGAATTTTTCTCATTAGTTCAAAAACTATACGTTTCAGGTGAGTGTCTTATTTGAATAGTTCAACAGTATATTGGTCAGTAGATGGCTGCGGAACTCGCTGCGCTCGTCCCGCAGAGGTCCACCCATAAGTTTCGCAATAAGCCACTTGTTTGTACAGGGTGTTTTTTTATATATCGACACCCGACCTACAGCCTTTACCTTCACAGGTAAAAGAAAGGTGTAAATACAAAAGTTGTACAGTTTTGGCTGAATTTTTAGAAACCATGGTCAGAAACAAAATTTGAATGTTAGGTTAAAGTTCTTGAGACAAAGACAAAAGTGTGATTTTTTATAGGTTTCCAGCTTTCTAAACATTCTTAAAACTTAAAATATAGTTTTGTTTTTTTTTTTTAATTTTATATTTTTTTTTAAAAAGGGGGGGAGCCCTTCTGCCCCCCACTGTATCCGCCACTGTCAAGAGCAAAATTTTGATCAAAGTAACTAGCAAGAGTTATTAACATTACTCGACATTGTATACAAGAATCGACTGCCAGAAAGCCTATTTCCTTGTAGACAAACAATCATTATCGTTTAACGTTATTCATAGTAGATGCCTATATTTTCATCTTGTGATCGCATGACCATCCGAAAGTGTGGTGCTTCTGTCTATAACAGTCGTTTGTTTTTTATTACAAATTTATGAAAATCACATAAAGACCATATCCTCGACGGCGCCATTAGATTAGTCCAATCATAAAATGTAAAGTTTATTTATTTTGACAAATTCGTCTTCAAAAGTTTAACGTTCTAATAAAATAAGAAGGCAGGCAACAAACCCTATTCGAGAGAGGACTGTAAAAATGTCCACCGCGTCGAGGTAGAGAAGAGTGCAGAGCAATTTGCATAGGATTATAATTACGGTTAAACTGAGGCAAGAAGACTGATGGACTTTGTGACAGTTGAATTTATTGCCCCGTCTGTCATAGATGGCGATTTATTTTTGGCTTTGTTTTCGTCGAGGAAACAGAACCAGTTCTGTACAAATAGAACAGAGAAGTATTCTTACGAACCAAACTGTAAACAACGATTCTCATTAGAACCACCATATTACTCTATTATAAGTTCATCGGTTCAGAACCGACTCTTCAGTTCCAATTCTCTTCAATCCGAATCTACCAAATCATGCTCTGAGTTTTATTAAAACTTCTGTAGTAGTTCTGTAATGTAAGATCACGAGATTTCCTGGTTGAAACATCTCTGCTGTAAAATGTTACAATTGGTCGATTATAGATTTCATATACCTGCTCTATAAAAAAAGCACATACAAGATGAAAAAGTACGCTAACATAGCAACCAGGTTAATACGTAATTAAGCTCCGGCCTAATTGGTAATAGTCCGTGTAATCGGGGACTTTAGAGCGGGCCCACGGTGAAGAAGAAGTGAATTCCAGTAGCGGGAAAACCGCTTTTTGATGAGCGAGAGTGCACAGCAGCGGGTCGGCCCATGCAATTTCTATTAATCATAATAATTTAGGGCCGTCCGATATATCCGATAACCCGTCTTTAAAATTGTTGGTTTTTATAATGAAAGGTGGAGCACTCGAGAACTTACGCCGAGTTACTTTACGAGAAGGAGGATTCGTTACTTATAACGATTATTATTTTCGCTACTAGTCTTTACATCGTTTAATAATTAATCCACGCATAATTATCAATGACCGGTATAAATCTAGTCAATAAATTACTATATGTAGGATGTAAATTGTTATTTTTCTTTTGGACAATAATTGCTTGATATAGTGTTTTGACTCTTTGTACGTGTCCACCAATATGGCGTTGAGCAATAAATAAATGTTCTTTTTTAATTAACACCTCGTTGCTTTACCCGATTTGACACGATAATTATAATTGGGCACTCGCAGAAAGGAATAATCCCCATTTGTATAGGGAATTTTACCAACGAATACGCAAAAACGTTGTGTATCGTGCTCTAATCAATTGTGGAAATTGTATAAAGCTGCTAAAACGAACACATCAAAAAGGCAATACAAGATAAATATCTATAACCGACTACATTTAGCTGTTTCCGTTGCAATGTATGTTTAAATTTGCGGTTATTAATCATCTTCACGAAACAGTTAAAGAGTCATTAATTAAATTTGCACCTTGAGCTCAGCAATTTTGGATAATCGACGCAAAAGATTTCCTGAATCCAATTCAAAATCAATTGACAAGTGAAACAGTAGCCAAGCTGTCGCATTAATTCAATCTTCGTTTCTTTATCGATACGGCCATCAACATTCTTAAAATGGACTTGATAAACGTGTTCTTTATTCCCATCATTCTTTATTTCAATCAATCGATTGACATTTTGCGTAGTTTAGGTATGCACGTGCCTAAAAAAAAAGTTTTAAGGTTTTAAATTCAGGGAGCCCCAATGGCAAAGTTCCGCCCACTCCGAAACGTGTCCGTCACTGGCAGGAGTGTGTGTTAAACACGTCTTATCTTGATGGCATTCTTAATTAAGTATATTAAACGGTGGTTTTAAGTGAAATTTATCACACCTCAAAGCCAGGCCTTGTTTGGTCAGACGACTGGCAACAGGGTCTTTGCACCTAATGCAAAAATGTTTTGATATACCTATAATAAAGAAGACAAATGCTTTTTCTCCGAGTATAAAAGATAATTGTTTGTTGGGCATCATATAATCCCGTGTAACCCCGTGTTGGTGGTCCGTCCGTGCCTTAATAAAATAATATCAGATATAAAAGGTTAAAAAATCGGTATGGTCGGTAATAGCCTATAATTATTTGTGGCTTTTTTCCCATGCGTTGGCCAGCCATATAACATCCGAGAAAATATCATAATTTAGCCATGGCCTGTGGTACATTATTTTTTTGCAATATTTCTTTTTTCAATAAACATTTTATTATCGCTCTAACTTCTAGTTAAGAGATTTTATCTGCCTAAAATTAACATCCCAACACATCACGGTATAATCATTAAGGCGCTCTTTTAACAGCAATCCTTGCACTGTGGTAATACGTTCCATGTCTAATTGCTAATCGCCAATAAAACGATATTTACGACTGCATATCTTCGGTCGTATGAACTCACTGATACGCGTATCAATCCGTAATAAATTTCGAGTGGGTATAAACACACGGAAGTTCCATATCGCCAGGTTTATTACCACGACCCGAGACGGTTTTGGTTGTTAATAATAATCTTACCGGACGGATTAGGGCTGTCACTGGTCAGTTTTTTTTCTAAAGTTGTATATAAGTATTATACTCCAATGTAAAATGATTATATATATATATACACAAATTCAGGGCTACTAATTTATTGTCCCCATGGACTTATTGTACTTATAGCGTGTCCAACCACTCTGGTATTTTGGTGCCCTGTACAAGGTCTTTTATTGGGTATGGTGTTCCATTTTTATTTCCGGGACTACGTTTGGTTGCCCGAAAATGCTGTGTTCTATGATCCAATATTTCGCAGGTAATTGATGTGTCTGGTTGTCTTGGGTTTCTTATGACAGAGTCTGCAGTTAAGATCTCCGTCATACAGGTTCATCCTTTACCAGTGTGCGGCCCATAGGCGCCGGAATTTCAAAATTACCATGACAGATCTAAGCTACTAGACACATAGACTTAAATGGGACCAGTTGACAGATACCCACTGCAGGTTCCTTCATATTATTGAAATTCGTACATCTTCGGCAGCTCGGCTATATTTGCCTTCGACAGCATCATTGACGTAGTCAGGATTCGGTCTTGGGGGGGGGGGAAGGGGCAAATTTGCAGGAAATGATCCTTACAGCAGTGGCACCTTCGCTGCAAGCGCGGCAGGAAAGAAAAGCGCCGCAGCTGGGTCTTTTCACGGTATTTTTGGGACTTCTAATAATGAGGGCAAGCGGCAATGCGGCTATTTTAACAAATTTTGATGAAAATTTATAGTAGAACGTTACTTATATGGACTGAAATCAACACACTCCCTCGCTATGATGCCTCGCTTGCATTCAAAACAAATTGAAAAAAAACTCAACTTATGGCACGAAACAAACTATAAATAAGCTAATGGCATGGCTAAAAAATGAACTACCCATATGCATGTTTGACAGGTCTACACAGGTCAATTTTAATGCAATAGAATGAAATGTCTAGAAGAACTCTAAGGTTGAATAGAGAACGAAAGATAATGATTTCCCCTGTTCCACCTCCAGCATTCCCAGCGCTCTTTGGCCACCTTGTTGTTGTCTCCCTCCGCTACGGGACAGGAGGCAAACCACATCTCGCTCTAAAATCTAATACTTTTTCCCTTGTACTTATAATGAATAACTATTATTGATGGGATGTTCCATTTTTCAGTGTTAAAATTGTTCAATATATTGGGATATAGAATATCATCCATAACTCTTTGGAATGTAGCCGGCGCGTTCTTCAAACCAAAAGGCATACGTAAGAACTCATAATGCCCGTTTTTTGTGCTGAATGCGGTTTTTTCGATGTCGTTTTCATGCATCTGGATCTGGTGGAAACCGCTAGCTAAATCTAAGGTGGTAAAGTACTGGCAGCGTCCCAGTTTCTTCAAGAAATCCGTTATGTTGGGTAATGAGTATTTGTCATCTGAGCTTTTTGTATTGAGGCCCCTAAAATTTATTTTACTACCTATACTAAACAAAAAAATATTCAAACTGTTTGTCAAAGTGGGTATAGCAAAAACAACAAAAACATAAAACACACAAGTTTGATATAAAAATAAATAGTTAGGAATGTTAGGATCAGGAACTCAATATTTTTGTAACTACTCACTACACCCACTACATACAATGCCAAAATCAATATGGGGGCTTCGCCCCCATAGCAAATTCACTACGGAGGCTCAAGCCCCCATTGCCCCTATGGTTCCGGCACCTATGGTGTGGCCTCTGTTATGAGGTCCCTTATAGTCAAGAATAATACACACCTACAGGATTGCTTACCGGTCTCTATTTAGGCCTCTGATTGAGGTGTCAACATTATTTAAGAGTAGATCACTGGATCATAAAGGGGATGGAAACGCCACTGCTTAATAATGCACTTAAACACTTTTTTCTTTAATTCTCTCTATTGTTGCATAACATCAAAAATCTAACAAGTTTGTGCAGTACCTACAATCAGTACAGGATAATATTGTTATTAGGCACTAGTGGAGGAAACGAAACTCTTTTGCGATCGTCTAGATAAAGACTAAAAAATCTACGCGGAAGAGGGTATGAAAGAGCAGATTCAATTTGTAAGTGACAAGCTGCCGCATAGAGCGGGAAGGTGGTACAGCCTGGCACGGTCGTCACAATATTTTATATTTTTCTTGCCTAAAAAGAATGACTTCTTGCATAGCAACAGGAAGAGTATTGTACGGCGGGGTGCTTTGGCGCTGTTGCCACTGTGAACAAAAATTAATAAATAATTATTGAATATTGTATGATTTGTTTGCTGTTTGTGTTTCCACAACAGCCTCGTTTTTGGTAATCGCCGCCATATTGGTGTGTCATCATTTCCGACGTCATAACTAAGTCGTTAGCTGTTTAAACAGCCTATGTCAAGACCAAGCGTGAAGGCAAGAAATAACATGCTGCCTACGTCACAACTGGTGATTTGACGGGAGGGGGATTTGTTCCACACAGGTCTTATGGGGATAGGCTATCCTGTAGTAGTAGTGTTTATCATCTTTGCCTTATAGTCTTATTCATTTGTGGTATGGTTGTTCAATGGACCCTACCGAGATACTACCTGGAATATACCTATCCAGTAGTGTCGGTATTCTTTACGAACAGTCTTTGATGTAGCTTCTGGTCATACTTATTGGTCACTTCTAAGCCGGTTCTGGCCCGATAAATTTTGACTCTGATCCTCTCTACGAATTCTCTTCAATTTCTCTGCACTGGCACCCAGGGCCCTGAGTTCTTCCTAACATTCCCATACTAGTTCCGATGATACTGTCTAGCTCGAAAGGGCCTTTAGTCATGGGTGTAGTTTGACTGTCAAACATTATAGGGATCGAAGGAACTGTTGTCAAAAGCTCCCTCTATGTCCAAAAAGGAGCTCAGCATCACCTCCCTGTTTTTGAATGTGGTCTCTACTATACTGACTTGATGTTTCTGTTAACATCTCTGTCCAATGTGGTCTGGGTTTAGTGGTCAGCTCAGCTTGCCAACACACCATTCCTAATAAGCCTATCTAGAAGTTTTCCCAGTGTCTTAAGCTCAAATGACGTAAGACTAATGAATTTTTGGGACTCTGCTGTGTCTTGTCCTATTTTTCCAGGCCTTGGTATAAAAGTTACCCTGATGTGCCTTCAAGTCTTTGGTATATAGCAAAGGCTAGGATACGTCTTAGAATGTTGCACAGCAAGGTTCCTAAAGTTCATAGGTTGCCTACTAATGGGTAACCCTGATGACGCGTCTGGGGTGCCTTATGGAGATATGTATTATGTTGAGGCCCCCCAGATGACGTCCTTAAGTTATCAGGCAATTTAGCTCTCACAAACAATGTTGGTTGCAGAGGATCCTGTGTAGTGTACTAGTTCAGTTCCATTCTGTAATATTATGGAATGGATCCCATTTGTTTCTATTGACTTGTATGGGTCGAAGGTGTTTATAGCTCATCCAACTTTCTCATAGTTGACTACTTTCTTCGAGGTCAGTCAATCGTTCCTGGATGCTCTCCGAGGCCTAGGCTCACTCCATGTCCACTGACTTGAGTCGGGAAAGTAGGTTCTTAGGAGTTCCCTAGCCGACTTTTCCCCGGTACTGGTGTATTCACCAAGGCTGTTCTTAAGCAAACTGATTGTTGTCTTGAGACAGTTCTTTTAAGTCTAGCATAATCTTGAGTACCTAGTTTCTACATCCTCACAGTACTTCCTGCGAAACCTCCTCTTGGATTCTCTCAGCTATTGAACTTGTTCAACGTGATACACTACCAGTTATTCTGGTTTGTTATTTGAATTCCATTCTAGCTTTCCTCCTTAAATTTGCAAGAATCTGGTACCACCAGGGCACGTTCCTTGTGGATTTCCTTGTTATAAGTAAACAGTTCTCATTAAAGAGATGTTTGCATTATTGAATTGATTCACAACCATCTTCAAATCTTCAGTGTCTCTTGTTGTATTTCTGATGTTCGAAAGGCTATATTCGAGGTCAGCTTTGTATGCGTTCCAGTCCGTCTTTCGAAGGATAAGTTAATGAAACTATTTCCCCTACATTCATTATAACTAAATTGTTTGCTAAAGACTCACCTCTTCCGTTGACGTTGGTACTTCCCCAAACTGTGTGGTGAGCATTCGCATCGCAACTGATGTCTCATTCGTCCTACAATGTCTCACCAGATCTTGCACATTTTTGGTAGGTTTTGACTCAAGGTTAAGTAGGCCAATCCTGATTCTGACTGTCGTCAGATCCCTGAAACAGAGAAGAGTTATTGTTGAAATACAATAAGGAGTGACTTATTGCTATCCCCTTTTTTCTTTTCGAAATCAATAAAGGGAGGTCGTCAATAGAGATCTCATCTATTCGTTACAGAGTTCAAGCCCTAATTGTCTGGAACCTCCTTACGATGTTTGACTTATAAAGTTTTATCCATGAAAAATCTCTTGAATTTTGTTTGTTCATAATAATTTAATTTACTCTTAATAATAATAAATATAAATTAGCCACACTGTACACATTAAACAATACCGGCGGGAGCGAAAACAAATATACAATTCATAGAATGAAATATCATTATTAATATTTTACTCGGTTTACAGTATACGCGTACCTGTATATACTTAAAATTTATAGCGTTTATGTAGAGCAGGATAATTATATGAAATTATTATATAACGTTAATCCGACGTTAAAGCGATTTTATTATACGCGTAATTTGCTAAAGAATGCTCCTACATTTGGTGTGGACGAATATTAAAATTATTTTTATATCGCGGGTCAAACGGGTTCAAAACTGAGAACCCATGGCAGGATACCTTTTTTTTTTTAATCCTCGACGGAAGGTGAAGTGTATTTTAAAATATGGTCAACATTGTCCAGTCACACCAAGAACCACAATGCGGTGGTACCTATTAAGGAATGGGTACAGAATGGGTGCCTGGAGAGTTGCTATTATACCATTGTTGCTCTTGGGGCACAAACGACAATAAATTAGAGGGCCCCAGGCGAGAGGTTTTTTTTTTGTCGTGTTGCTTGTAGTCGGTTTCAAATAAATATCATTGGAACCGATATTAAAATCGGTGGCATATTTTGACGTAACAAGACCTACGGCGATGTAAGAATGGCATTCGATTAATTTCAGCCACTGCATAAATACATCAGCAGCAGACCCGAACTGCACCTTCTATTCAACCCGAGACAAAACACTTGAAACTTTTTAATCATACCAGCAGCAGCAGCAACCAGTAACCGGTAGATAACCAGTTGCAAGGTTTTATATTATTTTTGCTGGGCGCTCTTTTGGCTGCTGGCGTTTAATAATTGCTTGGAAAAGTGAAAAGACAGGTAATTTGTTCGTCTTGGGCCCTTTTATCTTGTGCGAGAGCTTTGATAATATAATATAAAGAACGGAAGAAAGGACGTCTGAGAATGAAGAAACATCGTCGTATACTGGGGAATTGGGAATCATTAATGATCTCAACCAACAAGCGTCAAAAGTATCTGGGCATTTTGACTGAAGTAGGTTCAAAGTTACACAGATATCTGTACCAGTTAATTTTCAAGACAAAACAGATTTCACACAGGCCAAATTGTCGATTCAATGATTTCCTTGAGTATTCCCGTATCAGCTCAGTCTTTGTACCATGTTCGAACCAAATCAGTCTGATTTCATTTACTTATTGCTTGTCTTTATTCATGATTTCTCCAATTTGTTTTAATTTTTTTAAGATATGCACAAATAGTAAATGAAGTTATTGATCTTCACCCATATGGACAAGTTCTGTCGTCTCGTCTCGAAAAAGTGACTTTTGGAGAGAAAATCGGTCTCATGAGACGAGAATGTCTCGTATGATTGTCTCTACCGGATAGGAAATTTTGTTCTTCCAAATTCGAAAAAGAAAGCAAATTTTCTTCTGAAACATCTTACTGGTACTGCTGTAACTCGTGAATTCACTCAAGTCGATGATTGGGAAGTGTCCGAATATTTTGATGTGAGTTTCATTCTGTGCTAGTTTAGTTGTCAACAATATTGTTAGCAAAATACTAAGAGTACTAGGTAGTTTTTCATTTGTGCGTTCTATAATTTCTCGGATGTATACTGGTGATAATTTGGGTGATACTAATTCATAGAGTGTACCTCTATTGAATTGGATGTCTAGTCGCTGAGTTGTTTGATGTAGTTCACGTTAATCTGATATGCGCTCAAGATATGAAAGTTGAGCTTGTTAGTGCCTATAGAGCTGTACCAATTCTGCATGTCATTTACTACCTTCATCAATGCGCTGTTGAAAAAGCTTAAGTTGTGTGGCAATTTTTGTTTCAGTTGCGTTCAAAGTTGAAATTATGGAAAGCATAATTTTGGTTTAGTGGTCAGAGGTTTTTATTAATTTTTGTTGATTACTCTGGAGAGAATCAATATCCTGGTAAATTTCTTCGTTGACTCCGAACACTGACGTAAGGACTTTGCCCAATAATTCTTGTGCTGCATTTCTTTCAACGTGTTAATAATCCATCGTGTGTGTTTCAATTCTTCATGAAGGTGGTTTGTTAGTGATCTGCAATGTGTTTCGTTTGATAACATAGTTGTTTTGTTGCAGAGGTTGTCAAACTGGTTGGTGATTTTTGATTTCTCGTAATCAATTTCAATTCTAAATGTTCCTCTATTAATTCTGGCAAATCCGAGATGCACAATATAAAACCCTTGTGGTGGATATTTCAGCGTGAACCTACCTTGTATTTGTTGGGCGACACTCACGAGAAGTATCATTATCATCATTATTGCATATACGATGCTTATTCGTACGCTTCTGACGTATGTTCTGCTTATACGGGTTGCTGTTGGCCGTATCGTAGTTGTAGTCATCATGTGACTAGTTACTTGGCTGCACGCGAGTGTTCTAGTTGGTTCTTCAGTTTCCATCTCAACGTTATCATCGAATCAGTCCATGCATATAAGTGAGCTTTCTTAATGTCTAAAGCTCTGAAGGTGTTTTTTAGTAATTTTGATAATAATACTGCTGGGCAGAGCTCTAATCTGGGAAGTGTAGTCTTCATCTTTTTAGGAGCCACTTTGGATTTTGCTTATACTAATGTTATGATGCTCTCTCCATGGACTGTGTTTTTGTACGGTTATAGATTACTGGTCCGTACGTTTTTCAGACGCATCACAAAAACCATGCATAGCTCTAACTGGATGCCTTCATAATGTATCCATCTAGGGATTTCAACTTCTTCTATCTTCTTTAGTTGATTTTGTAATATCTTCTACCTCTCAGCGGTTTCATTATCTACGATTTGATCCCATACCAAATTTTTTATCCATAAGTCTTGGAATAATAGCTTTGCTTTGATAACTATTGGTAAAAGCAAGCCCAATGGATCAAATAGTTTTGATATCTCGGATAATATATGCCGTTTTGTTAGAGTATGATTCTGTTGAACTGATACTCGAAATCTGAATGTATCATCAGTTGTAGACCATAATACCCCAAACGATTTCGTCGTATCATCCTGTGGTAACTGGTGGAGTGTTTCTCTTGGAACATTCTGATGAAGAAAATCGCTGTTGTAGCTCGACCATTTACGTAAACTGAACTCAGCGGATTTTAACATCTGGTATAATTGCCTTTGTAGTTCTATTGCGGAGTCGATGGTGTCTGCTCCGGATAAAATGTCATCTACATAAAAATCTTGCTCGCTTTTGGATAACGGTGTTCCTCTACTTACGCTAAAGTCTGCAGTGTCTTGATCGCGAGATACGGCGCTGAAGTCGTCCTATACGTAACAGGTGTAAGCTGATACTTACAAATGGGCTCTGATTTTTCGGCTCTCCATAGTCTCCTTTGATATGGTTGATGATTAATTCGAATCTGACGATACATGTTTTCGATATCCCCAGTGAATGCTACTTTGTGTTTTCTCCATCTAATAAGGATGTTTGCTAAATTCTGTTGTATTCTGGGACCACCGTACATGATTTCGTTAAGGCTGGTTCCAGATGATGTTTTGCTAAATGCATCGAAAACAACCTGTTGAGTTTTTAAATGGAATGTGTCGTCCTTGTTCTTCACAAATTTGATCATCTTCTGTATACTTGCTGTATACTTCTTCTAATTCTCAAAATTTGCTCAAATATTTGTCTTTTTCTGCTTGAGTTACCAGACTAACGACTTGTATTCTTGGTCTTTTGGTCTGAACTGGACCTGACACTATCCATCCCAGTTCCGTGTCTTCCGCATATTCTTTAGCGCCAAGTATAGCGTCTATGGGACCAAGCTTCATGAAGATTGGATCTGCTAATAATTCATTTTTCCAAGATTCTATTCCACTAACTTGGACTTCGTCTGCAGGTGTTGTTTGAGTAAACTTGGCCAGTACCATCATGTTAACTAGCATAGTGAATTTGCTAGCAACTCGTGGATATTTTCGGATTTTCATCTGGTACCCCAGACATTTCTGCAGAAATTCTTCTTCGTGGAATACCTAATCTCTCTGCAGCTTCTTTTGTGATAAACGATACTTGTAACCCTTTATCGATTAATACTCGTAGCTGCTGTAACATACATGGTGGGGTTACTTCTACTATGGTAGTTACTAGTAATACCTTGTCATTTGTGTGGTTCGACAACGACCGCTGAGGCTTACTTGGAGGTCCTGCTGGTCTTCTTGTTGATCCATTGTTATTATATGTATTCTGAGGTTGATTGCGTCTCTTCTGATGAACCTGATGTAACAATATGTGATGACGCCGATTGCACGTATTACATTTATTCTTATTGTAACAAGTCTGAGTGACCTCATGATTCATGCAGCCGTTCTTAGATACGAAGTGGTTTTTTTCTGCTATCGATAAAGCTAGGAAGCTGGAACACTGGTTGATGACATGATATCGATTTTTACATTACGAGCAGTAGTTGTTATTGCCGTGTTCGATATTGGTTTTTCTTACTGACGGCGTTACAGTCTCGAAAGACTGAAATCTTCTCTCCAAAAATTTCATGAACGTATCAAAGTCTTGTATTCCCTGAGGGTTCTTAATATTCTGTTCATAGACTTTGTTCGTCTCTGAGTCCCATTTCTTTGGAATAAGTCGTACTATCATTGGACCCCTTGACTCTGTTTCCACGCCCGAATTTGTGATTGCTTGAAGGCATTCCTTTCCACTTGTATTACTGGAAGATCAATGATTTTGTTTCAAAGTTTTGAAATGAGAAGTCTTGAATAATTCTGATAACAACTCAGCAGTAAGCTCGTAATTGGCCTCTGATGTTAACAGATGTTGAATGACTCTACTAGCTTCAGTTCGTAAGTGCGTCTTCAATAATTGCATCTTTTCTGTGGTACTGATTGCTTACTGATTTTCATGTATCACTTGCTTGAATATGTCATGAAATACGAGCCAATTGTCATAATTTCCATAAAGTGGAATTGTCTACTGGAACCGTCACATGCTGTCTGGTAACTATAGGTGTTATTGGAAACGCAGGTTGAATTGGTTAGCTTTCATTTGATTTTTCTGTAAGCTTTTCCATAATGTCTTCATACCGCTGCTGGATGCTGAACAAGCGGTCCTGTTTGAAGTAATTGTCTCTGAACTAGTTTTCATTGATTATTATTTTCTCGTGTAAGTCTTGGATTGGGGCCCATTGCATTTGAATCTTCTGTCGTTGTTGTCTGTTGTTGACCGGTGTCTAAGCGTTGACCCCGAGGGGCGTGAGTTTATGCATAAAATAGGAATGTAGGAAACTAGGAAATGACTGAAAGGAACCACTTCAACCCAAGGTACTTGCAGATTTGAGAAGATCCTAATCAGTTGTAGGGCTGGTTTTTAACCTTTATCTTCTTTTTTGCTGGAACTGAAGGACCAATGTGCAGGACGGTACGCTTTGTATCTAGTGTTTCGTAGTTGCATTGCAGATGTGTTTCAAGACAGTGAGCCCTGAATGTAGGTTTCTTGTTTCTTCCGTATAGAAGTTGTATGAGTACTAGTAGGATAAGTAGTGTTAAACGTGAATTTGCTAAAAGGCCTTTTTGGCTTCAGAAATGTTAGGATGCGGTTTTCACAGAACTTCATAGATTTGTTCAAGTTATGTGGCCAAAATCTCTTTTTTTTTTTTTGGCTGACTCTGTAGGTATCTCTAATCCTCAATTATTAAAAACATTCTTGTCCTTTATAAAACTGTATAATTTTTCGAAATATTATCACCGACATTGATTTATCAGAGTATACAAAAAGTGACATTGATTTTTCTAGATTTACACTAAACAATTCAGATGACGATTCAATAATAGAAACAAAGAAAAATCCATTCCCAATGTTGGAAAGCGGTAAATAATCGTTTCTCAATAGTCCGGAGTCCGGCTATAGGTACGCGAGAATCGCTCACTCCGATATCATTACGAATAATTGTATGTACTTAGGCAACAAATCACTGGTCTAATCACAAGTTGTGGCGTTTCAAGCATAATGCGCCCGAACTGAAGTGTTAATGCCTGGGTCATTATTGGCTATCGAAAGGTTTTCCGCTATTATCCCTTGCAAAAAGAAAAACCGTCCAACAATTTTATTAACTGATAAATTTATAATGTGTGCGGACAAGACTCGGTACCGGGGACGTAAGTATATAAATTTCAAATCCATAATAAAGTAATAAAACAGCAAGGGACACAGATACTAAGCGCGTCTGTCCTGTCCTGTACGTTTTATTTATTTTATTCGCTTTTAACTACACAGACACACACTTTTCTTCTTGAAATGCGGCTTTAATTTACTATTACAAGAATGAGGAATGCGGATAGTATGCACTAAAACAAACTAAAAATTTACATCATGAAGACACGACTTTTTGATAATAAGGACTCCATTAAGTATTTGGATCTCGCTGGGTTTGGGAAATTTAATTTATGTAATGTACAATCAGCCATATTAGTCATTGATTAGTGAAATTAGGCTCTAGATTTTAATGTGACAGGTGGGTCATGGCTCCAACTGTGGCCCAAATCAAAAAACCACCGGTTCATTGTTTGTCTAATAGAAATCCGATCGGCATTTTTTTTCTCCCATAAGCCGATTTGGATGAGGTTTCTTAATCGATTTCAATGATCAATGATAGCCTGCCTGGGTATTGTAACATTTTGTAAAACGTATTGTAAAACATACGATTGCAACAGGAGTCGGCTTGTTTTTAAAAGATATAAAGAATGAGATGGCAAATTAGTCAATGCTGGATTTATTGATTGGATAAAAATAAAATGATAATATTGAAGATGTCGTGGCTGATGTGATGATTTCTCTAATTATATTGTTTGTCCTTAATCCTAGTGATTTTGAGTAAAATCATCTAGAAGGTCATGAATATGACGTATAAATCGTTGGAGACTGGATTGGTACTGATTCTTGATCAAGAATCGTACTTATGTCATGAGCATGACTGTTGTTCTCCTTCAGATTTTGTTCTGGTTACAGCTTTCTAAGAAATTTTAACAGGTATGTATTGTTTTAGATAAGCCGGAGGAGGTTGCCCCCGATACATTGAATAAAAATATTCTATCCATACTGCGTCAGGAACAAGAAGATGTTATTTTTGCACCTCCTCTCCACAAGGAAATTGCGACCCAATGGAAATTGCTATTTACGAAGGGTATGAAAGAAGATGAAAGCCGTATCATAATGGAGAAGTATCACATGCCTCAAAATTGTCCTTCTGCAACGTCCCCTAAGCTAAATTTAGAGCAGCTATCAATGAAGTGTCTCTTAAAAGAGATGAGCGACTGGAAAAAGTGCAAGCTCAGATGGGAACCAGTCTAGCTGCCTTAGGAAAGGCTCTTTCCATGTTGATGAACAGAGCAGAGTCATTAAGCGAAACAGATGATCAGCTTTTGGAAATCATCGAGGCTGTTAGTGATGGAGACAAATTACTAACGGATATCTATTATAATCAATCCGTTTCAAGACAAAATGCAGTTAGTGTCAATCTTGATAAGAGCCTCAAAAGCTTCATCGAAAATACTGATTTTGATGGCTGGTTATTCGGAACGAATTTGAGCAAGAGATTGGAACAAGAAAAACAAATAGTCAAGTCAGGAGAGGAATTGAAGCTTAAGGTGACACCACAAAAAAAACCGAGAATGGATTCAAAAAACTCCCAATATCCCCCAGGCGGCAGGTGGGTCTGGGAGGATCCCGGCAATTCAGGAAGAGATCATCGAGTGCACAGGTACAACCGAGGACACAACAGTACCGGTCTTATCAACGGAAAACAGGGGAATATCATCACCAATACAAGAGGTCCTCGGAGAAGGACCGTCGTCGACGTTATTGAATGATACCAGGAAGGCACTGGAAGAGGTAAATTTTAGGGCAGGTCGTTTTTCAAATTTTTTCAGCAGTGGTGTAGAATCACCACAGACCCTCTTATTATTTCTTGGTTGAAGGGTTATAAAATTCCATTTATTAGAAAACCTAATCAAAAACATTTTAATTCATGCAAAAGGTGGTCTAAATTAGACATTAAGGTCATTCAAGATGAGATTCAAAAATTGTTGAAAAAAGGAGCTGTTCGAAAGTGTAAGTCATCATGCAAAAATCAATTTGCATCAAACATTTTTTTGGTTTCAAAGCAAAATGGGAAAAAGAGATTGATTTTAAACTTAAAATCTTTAAATAAATTTATTGAAACATCTCATTTTAAAATGGAGGATAAAAATATGGTTATTAAGGCTATCCGGCCAAATTGTTATATGGCATCCATAGATATTAAAGATGCTTACTTTCACATTAATGTTGATAAAAATCATAGGAAATACTTAAGTTTTCAGTTTGAAAATAATATTTATCAGTACACTTGTATTCCATTTGGTTTATGTACTGCTCCGAGGATCTTTACAAAACTTTTGAAACCTGTTCTCTATTACTTAAGATCAATAGGTTACATCTCAGTTGTATACCTTGATGATTTTCTTCTTATAGGAGATACATATGAGGAATGTTTATCTAATGTTAGGATGACAGTTAGCATTCTGCAAGAGCTTGGGTTCATAATAAATTTGGAAAAATCTAGTCTTTCTCCAAAAAAATGTTGTACTTTTCTTGGATTGGTATTCAATACTAGTGATATGACTGTGGAGCTTCCTCTGGAAAAACGTCAGCATATCCTCGAATGGGTAATCAAAATCATAAATTTGTCTTATTGTACTATTCAGTATTTTTCAAGATTTATAGGTAAGCTAACAGCAGCATGCCTTGCACTAAAATATGATCGAGTGCATATTAAAAATTTTGAAAGGGCCAAATTTTTGGCTTTAAAAAAGGCTAGGGGATCTTATTTTAAGATTATGCAGATTCCAAAATTTATCGTTAATGATTTACTATGGTGGAAAGCTAATATTCTTACTTCATTCAATCCAATTATTTTGTCTCGGAAATTTAAAATTGAAATTTTCTCAGATGCTTCAAAAAAAGGTTGGGGGGCATTTTGCTCTGAGCAAGGTGCTAATGGCCAATGGAATGTCGAGGAAAGGTCTTTTCATATTAATAAACTAGAGTTATTGGCTGCTTACTTTGGTTTAAAATGTTTTGCAAGTAAACTAAAAGACTGAGACATTTTTTTACACATTGATAACACAACTGCAATTGCATATATTAATAAGATGGGGGGAGTTAAATTTCCTGAGCTTAATCAAATGGCACAAAAAATTTGGAATTGGTGTGAAAAAAGAAATTTATTTGCAGTTGCAACTTACATTCGGTCTGGAGACAACATAGAAGCTGATTTTTTGTCTAGAAAGCATTCACAAGATATTGAATATGGTTTGTCAAATTCAGCCTTTAAGTTTATTTGTAAGCATTTTGGGGAACCTAACTTAGACTTGTTTGCAAGCCGTTACAATAAAAAATGTGATAATTTTATTTCATGGCATAGAGACCCCGATGCTATGGCTAATGATGCATTCACTGTACCCTGGAATGGTTTCTTTTGTTATGCCTTTCCCCCCTTTGCCTTAATACCAAAAGTATTGCAGAAAATAATTGTTGATAATGCAGATGTCTTACTTGTTGTACCTAATTGGCCAACTCAAACATAGTTTCCTCTTTTTAATAAACTTCTTCAAAGAGAACCTATTATGCTTGCTCCTAAAGAAAATTTATTGTTATCTGTTGACAGGAAACCACACCCCTTGTGGCACAATCTTTCCCTGGTGGTAGGCCATTTATCGAGCAAGCCTTCCGAGGAAGAGGTCTTCCAGAGGAGTCTCTACAAGTAATGTTATCTTCAATTTCTCAGGGAACTATAAAACAATATAGTAGCTATTTAAAACTCTGGTGGGAGTTCTGCCACTTACATAAAATTGATACATTTCATTTATCTATAAAATGGGTTTTGAAGTTTCTAACACAATTGTGCGATAAAGGTGCTAGTTATGGTACCTTGAACTGCGCTCGGTCTGCATTAGCTTTAATAATGTCATCAGAATTGGGCACAAATTTTGAAATTCAAAGGTTCTTTAAGGGTATACAGGGGCTTAGACCAAGCAGGCCAAAGTATAATTATACATGGGATCCCACCACAGTTTTAGAATATCTAAGAAATCTGTATCCCAATGAAACACTTAGCTTAGAAAGACTGACATGTAAACTTGTACCTTTGTTAGCTTTAATAACTGCACATCGTGTGCAAACATTGTCCTTAATTAGTTTAGAAAATATTCACAAACGGGAAACGGGGTTCTTGATTTTCATAAGTGGTCGCGTTAAATCATCAGGGAACAACAAATCACAACCTGTTTTACAAATTCCGTTTTTTCATAATGATCTTAGGGTGTGTGCTGCCAAAACATTAGATGCTTACCTCACAAACCAGCTACAGCTCAGTCTATCAGTCGTTGGGTCAAGAGTATCTTAAAGCAAAGTGGAGTAAATACTGAGATTTTCTCAGCCCATAGTGTTAGACACTCTGCGACTTCTGCAGCTAAAAGGAGGGGTGTAAGTCTTGACCTAATTAAAAGTACAGCAGGGTGGTCTCAAAAATCTCTTACCTTTGCCAGGTTTTATAATAGGCCGGTAATTAATGACAATGAATTTGCCTTTTCTATCTTAGAACATTAATGCTAGGTATAGTGTGTTTTGTCGTTGTTTATTATATAAGGAGTTTATTACTTTATCTTTTGTGATAATTAGGATTGATTTTATTTCTAGTTTATTCGAGTTTATTTTGTGTTCTGTTTATGGTTTATCCCAGTTCCTTAGATTAATGGAATTTAATTTGTTTTCTTTTTTGATGATTTAATAAACAACTTGTTATATTATTCACTTCTTTTCTTTCAAATAATAAAAAAAAAAAAAAAAGATCTCAAATCACTCTCAATATCTACAATGTGATCATGAGAGCAAGGCGTGAATATAATTAATAGATTAAACGAACTTACCTAAGTGAAGTTCAATCTTAATTATGTTCACGCTTTGCTCGAGGTGATCACACCCACCTCTCCCTGCAAAACCCGTGATCACCTGATTTGAGATTTGAAATTAACCAAATTAAAAACTAAAGACAAGGAACATAGGGGATGTGCGAAGGGAGTGGATATATTAGTGTTTTCAGCTTGGTACCGATACGTGAACGCCGCCTAGCGGGCGGAATACTACAATGTAATCACCTCGAGCAAGGCGTGAACATAATTAAGGTTGAACTTCACTTAGGTAAGTTCGTTTAATCTATTAATTTTTGTTTCGACTACAAATGGAGCAGATCAATAACTAATCAAAGATGTATTAAAGGACGACCATTCTATGTGGATAGTTCAGTTCAATGATGTCGATACTTTTCAAGAACCATACAAATTCGCCCGAGGCGTATTGCGTAAATCAAAAGGAACTATGGTAACGGCAATTTTCTCTTCGCGCTGGAAACGCGGTTGCGGGTGAGAAAAAATGCGGAAAAGCTGGCGGCCGTTAAGTCCATTTTGTGTGCGTTGTGGCACAAGTTGTTGCACTAAACCCTCCATCTTGTTGTCTCGGCCGGGCAACGCTCGAAATTGCCCTCGAGGTGACAAGACTGTGATTAGAACCCGATGCAAACAGGCCGAGTTCGAATTTTTTGAACAGAATCGGACTAGTGAAATATCTTATTTAAAGATGACAATTTGCCAGTTTTTCAAGATTCATAATGAACATCTTCATTTTGATTCACAGTGATAAGTATGAAAATCTAATTGTTATATCGATGTTGATGTTGTTTGCAATATTCTGTTTCAAGTCCGTGTCTGGGTGTTTTCGAATAACCCATCGCGAAAGGCACCTGGAAAAAAAATATTAATTGCGACCAAAGAAGAAGAAGAGGAACGCTCTGCCGAAGACCAGCGCGCGGCCTTTAAGTAATATATTCTTCTTCTTCTCGGGCTCTGATCTCTGCGATGTTACATCAAAGTGTCCACGATTTATGTTGGGCTTTTTAATTTATTCTTTGCCGGCCTGGGCCCGAGAAGAGCCCCCCGGGCCCCGAAAATATTCCTGTTCGGCTATTTTATGGGCTGCTGCGAAAAGAAAAACCAAATCGATGTTGGTGCAAAACATAATTAAAATATTTCAACTAACTGATGTATTGACTCAGGAACTACCAATCTGATTTTTTTTTGAAATTAATTAAGGCATACGTAATATTAAAATTGCTTCATCAAAACTGTTTTGTATAATGAATGAAGTATCCTTGAAATCAATCAAAATCGTAGGAGGTACAACGATTTCGTAAAAGCCGATTTGTATATACCTGTATTTAAATTTCTGATTTACTCAATTGATAGGCGTATTCATTCATGAATTTCGTGAACATGAAATTCTTCTTCAACTGAAGAATTTTTTCTATTCATGACTCAAGTTATTGCAGGTTTACTTCAAATTAAATCAATTTCCACTTGCCACATTCCGCAATTGGTATAATAAGAAAATAATCATACACATCCGAATAAGAACAATAGAACGATTATAATTTTTCGCATGTTAATGTCCAAATAAGTATGGGAAAAACGTACTGACCCATTTCAAATGGACGATCAATCCTTAGAAGGTAACAAGTGGACAATAATAATGTCAGGTGCTCAGAAAAAAAATTGGTTAAGGTTGGGTTTCCTCTCTTTTAGCTGCGGTAATTGGCTATTAAAAGCAATTTTGTAGTTTTATGGTCAAGCCGGAATCGTTTACGTTTTAACATATTGCCCATCAGATCTAATCGGTGAAAGAGTAGATACCTACAAAACACAGTCGCTGAATGTTATTATAGTATTTAGTAGATATTAAACGGTGCGATAAACTTTGGTTTCTTATTGCTTCTTGG